CGTAATAGCTTAGCTCAAACTAAAGCTAAACCTCCATTTAGCTTGCTCAATGCTTAGTTTGGAAATTTTTATTCCTGGACTAAGCATAAAGCAAGGATTTCTTTTTTTGACATCTGAGGTTCTTTCAGATGTTTGCAGAACAGGAAAGAAAGGATGCATAAATTCAGAGTTCAAGATTAAAGTGTAATGCTTCACATGAGGGCAGAAATCAAGACAGCTTGTTCATCTGAAAGCCCACAAGCTCAACTTAAAATACAGTCATCAATCCAGAGTATCTTGTTTCATTTTACATGAACATCCACTTCATTCTCAAGATGCACATAAACTTGTGCAGGCAAATGAAATGTTATAGTATCTCCAAGTGGATGAAATTCAAAACAACAAAAAAAAAGTAGTTTCTCAAGTGTTACAAACTAATTTTACAGGCAAAGGAAGTGAATTCAGTATTAAGATGACAAGTGCAAATGCACACAGGATATGCAAACAGCTTATAAACTCTCACTGTTAACACATCGGTTATCACCACCACTACAATTCAGAAGAACACTTAGAGTGGACCCTTGTATTTAAATAACCGTATGCCCTTTAAAATTCCAAAGAAATCATGTCCCTTTCCACCTTCTGAATGAAAATGCTGCAGGGTTAACTTAAAAAAATTAAAAAAAAAAAAGGCATACACCACAGGGGAGACTGAATTCATCCAGTTATTAAAGCAATATTTCTCTATTTACATTGTGGCAAACAGGCTGAGACAGACTGAGACAAGCTAAACTCTGCCAGGAGATTTCCTCTGTCCAGGGAAGGAAATAAGTGAAGTCAGGAACTTTTTTGTAGATTGTGAAAACAGCATCCAATGCCAGGCTTCCCTCATGGGCATCCAAAGGAAGCAGCAGACAAAAGACATGACAGTGGAGTCTTCCCAGAAAGGGTAGGGAAGTGGGAAGGAATGCTTACTTAGATAGGAGTAAGAAATTCACCGCCTCTTGAATGTCTGACTAAGAACAGATTTCTGGAGGAAGATACTTGAAGACCCACCCATTTGCACTCTGCTTGCAGTGTGGCAAAAGAGTTTCTTGTGAAATACGTAGAGAAATTGATTGGAGGAGACATCCAACTGGTGTTTGACTCCTCTTTGTTGGATTTCCACTTGTGGGGAAGGACAAGGTCAGGAAAGAACAGGTAACAAACATTATGCATCCCCTTATTTTAATAAACAGCAAGTTTTATTATTAATATTTGGCTTAGAGATCCCTGGACACTGAAAGTATCATTAATAAGAATGCTGCAGGATTATTATGTGAAGAGAAATACTGTCAAAAGCCTGGACTGGATACAAATGTAACTTTGTGAACTGAAAGGTCCATATTCATTATATTAAAATGCACTTTATTAAAATATATAAAGTAGAACAGGCAGTATAGAACAGATGTTTTGAGGAAAACATGTCAGCTGTATACTAATACTGTAATTTTATATGAGGCCAAACTCGTTTACTTAAAATTCCTATGATCCATAGAGAAATTCTTTCCTTTCCCATGCTAAACTATGGTGGATGCATCAGGCTAAAAATACAATAATTAAGGATATGAACAGGTTACTTTTTCAGTGAAACTTTCAAACAGATTGAATAAGATCACACAGTCAATTCTCATGCCAAAGAATTCTCATATGAGTTACCATACTCTAATACACACAAAAACAAACAAAGTGTAAATCGTTTTGCTGCAACTGAACGGAAAAGAACGGTTCTCAATCTCTCTGAATTTATCAGTGAATTATACGGATCTTCACCTGGCAAAAGCATAAACAAGACAATGAAAAATTGGTGTATATTTCCTTAACAAAGCGGTTGGAAAAATTAGTTCAAATGGCTTTGAAAATAACCTAAAATCCATTCCTAAAGGATGCTTTGCATTTGATTGTCTAGAATTATTCATTTAAAAATCAGTATCACAGAAAATTCAAAGACTGTCCACACTGGATCTTCACTGCGCTAGAATCAGCTGAAGTATTTAAATATCTTTCTGGTGAAAGACCCACCAATAATTTTGAAAAATTTAGGTAACTGCTACTTACAGAATTCAAAACACTGTTGCTTCAACTCAGTTTCAGCTAGGAAAGATGCACTGATATCTGTACATCAAAACAGTTTGTTTAAAACTTCTTTTTTAAGGAATATATTTCAAGTGTGTAAATTCTCTTATGATACAGAAAGCACTTCAAAATAGAACTTTGACTAAACAGTGACAAATGTTTAAGATGCTGCCTCCTAAATATTAAGTTATTTGCACTTGACCAAGAGCTCAACATTATCTTATGTTTGGTGCCACAGATTCCTCTGGGATGAGAATCATTTTGGCAACGGGCTTTTGCATCTACATTTTGCAGACAGGGCATTATGAAACTGCCAGAGTATCCAAAAAGAAGAAAACAGAGAGAGAGGATGTACAGAAGCAAATATTTGATAAATTAAGCCCAGAACAGCAAAAGACATGAAGCAGTCAAATTTGTCTAGTTGAGAATATCAAGTTTTCCCCAGTCTGAGTCCCTCAAAATAAAGTAGTGCCCATGTTTTCCTTAAGCCAGCAACTTGATCATTCTACTGACAGGAATTACTTCTAGTCAAATACTATAAAAACTATGTTAAAGATGCTGATGTTACAAAGTAAAGAGACACTCAAAGGTTAGCAAAGCTCATACAACTTTAATTTGTCCCACTTGTGCTGGTAGGACAAGCCTTTCAGCAATAACTTTTCTGTATGAATTCTCAGGTCTCTTTGAAGTGGAAAAAGTAGTCAAAATGGAAAATACTCAGCATTTCTTCCCTCCTCCTGGTATCACTAAGTGCGTCTGATAACATCATATCTCACTATACATGACCAAAATCTTACACTGAACACAGAACTGATTCTTTTTCTTGGGGAGCTTTTCTCAGTTTTAAACATTCTGCTGCATCTCTGGTTCACCAACCCATAGGTGTGCAGTTACAGTGCAGCTATGCCTATTCAGCAGTGGGTACTGGTTTCTGAAAGGACAAATCTCTTTCCTGCCCCTCCCACCATCTCTCTTCTAAATATCTAACCTCACAGAGAACTACTCAGACCATTAAACCAGCAGAAAACATCTTGAACTGGCTCAATATGGATCACAGGAAAACAAATGCTGACACAAAGGAGGAGGCATCAGGAACAGAAAAGGGGTTCCACTGACTCCTCCATCAGCAAGTTAGCAAGCAGCCATTACAACAATTCACTGTATTGAAAACTCAGACCAAAAAAAATGTATTTCTACATTTATTTGAGATATTAAGCACCATTCCTTTTCTTTCTGGAGGAAAAGAACTCGTGCATAAGGAAGCTGAAGGCTAGAAGTTTCACATGTCCATTAACTAGTACAGCACTCCATAGCTGATTTTACAATGTTATATACTATTTTTACAGTACTTTATATGCACATAAAATTCCTTTTAATTTCAGCTGCACATACTAAACTCTCAGCAGTCGGCAAAACGGTCGCAACATGACTAACACCATCAGCAATGAAACTCTTCTATTTGTAGATTTGCTAACAATTCTGGAACAGTATAAGAACTGTCACAGCTCTCTAAATGTGATCACCTCCTTCTCTCACAATCCTGTCTCATTTTCCAAGCTTTCAAAGTCTGCAACAGAGTGATGAACCCATTTTGTACTAAACCTGATTCAATCCAAGAGCAATGCTCATGCTATTAGAATAAAAGAGGCAAGGGGTAAAGCAGGAAATACTAACAAAGCCTGCAAAATTATGAATACTGCAGTGGAAGCAAACTAAGGTTGCACATGCAATCAATTCCTGAATGCCTGACTCTAACAGTAGCTTTCTTTTAACTGGAAACTTCTGTGCATTTTCATAAGATATTTTTGTAACAAAGAAGCAGAAACATGCTGATCCCTTGAAGGATCATCAGAAGGATTAAATTCTTTGGACTCACAACACTGACCCTTGCCACTTCAACTCATCAATGACAGTTGGAAAAATAGGCAGTAATCCATGAATCGGCCAACAGAGGGAAACAAATAGCTATGAAACCTGTTAGCAAGAAACAGAAATGCATGGAAGCAGCAATTTTTGGGCTCAAGCCAAATTTCATAGGGTTTGGGCTTGAAACCTTTATCTCCTAGTCTCCTCTTACAATATGCACTTTGCTTATCCCTCCCTTACCACACTTGCTATTTGTTAACACATCTGCATTTAAGTGAGATTGATTCTTTTCTCAAAATATGGGAGTGGCTTCCCTTTTGAGCTTCCAGAAAACTGGCAGTACATAGATTCAAAAAAAAAATCAAAGATTCATATCTTCTACTCTGCAGTCTCAAACAGCATTTTAAATTATGAGCAAGAAATAATTGTGTACTGAACTTTCTGTGTTTGCAAGTTTAGAAGAGTGCAAGGGGCTTAAGAACAGAGAAAGTAAAATATAGCAAGATAGTCTGTATTCAAAACAAACCTTTGCCACTTAAGCTCCAGAAGTTTGATTGCCAGAATCTGTAAATGTAGGACTCGAAACACAATATAAACATCTGTGTTGGACAGTAAGACATGAAACATGTTCAAATAATATGTGGTATTGCTATTTTAAGCTATAACATATCTGACTTCTACGCTGCCGTTCTAAAAAGAGAAAGCTATCCCTGGAGTTTGGTACAGGCTGTTCAGTATTTTGTACAGTCAATACACCCGCTTAACTTTTTTTAATATTCTCTTCCAGCAGATAGAATGTGTTGCTATATAAACTGAAACAAAAGATATAATTTTCAGAAGTTAAAAACTAGTATAGAATTACCCAGTTTAATATGTATTCTAAAATTCTTGTTGCATGGTTCTAACAAAAATCATGTTAACATGGCTATAAATACATCATCTCCATGGATCAAAGTATTTTTCTCAAAATATTTTCGAACAGGGGAAAAAAACAGCTGGACATTGGGACAATGAAAGAAAAAAATTTGAGAAACAGAGTATATGCTTGCTAAACAAGAATTATGTTTATTTAGCTAGTGAATCACCTAGAGGAGTAAATTTTCACTTTCATGATAGCAATCTGTCAGGCTTGCAAACACCCAGAAATAGGAATTAAAGATTATTTTAAATGTAGTTATAAAGGTCATAAAAAGTCTGATTTAGACTGAGGTACATTTACTCAAAACTGAGATTCATTGAGTGGTAGCAAACAAACAGTTCCTCAGACAAATGCACTTTTTTCAGTATACATGTTACAGGAAAAAAAAAATAAAGAAATGTGCATTAACTGGTGGTGTCCACCAAGCTGCATATTAATATTCTCTTACACCAAACAGTTTGAAACAAGGGAAATGTCATTCTAATATAATTTTATGTTACGTTTAATTTGGCTAAACTGCAGCTTAAAGTTGCTTTGCCATGTTAAAAGATTACTACAATAATTTTCACATGAACATTTAGACTTGAGTTTTACTCCAGGACTAAATATGGCATGATTTGCTTTTAATCTGTTGAATAGCTAAAAACTGACAATTAAAAAAAACTACAACAAAGAAAAAATTAAGTTGAAGCAATGTGAATCTCACATCATTGAACCACTTCTAATGGTTAAATGTTAGTATTTAACAAATTCAAAGAGTTAATGAATCCTTGCATTCGTTCAGTCTCCTGTGCCTTATCTAGGATGCATAAATACAAAAGACAGCAGATACTGGTAAAAGCTTCAGGACAGAAAGTGCTTGACGAAGGTACAGTTCTCAAGTGTGTTTGGTGAGAGAGTATAAGGGCAGATGCACTGATGAGAACCATTACAAGAAGAGTCAATTTTGTGTTAAAGTGTTCAAAGATGTCACCTTAAGCAGAAAAAAGCTTTAATAACGTCTTCTTAGACATATTAGGCATTTCCAGAGTCTACATCATTAGTGTTGTAATTCTAGCAGGACATCTCCATATAGTTATTGTTTGTTTCTATTTCTCTCCTGAAAAAAAAAACAAAAACAAAAACAGAAAGGAAAATCATGTTAATACACACAGTTCAACATTATCTGTTTTCCTCTCATTAGAGCAGTTGCATTGCTTGCAATTTCTCTAAATCAGGCAACAAGCGTTCAAGGAAAAAGCTTCACTTTTTTTCCAGGAACATGAAATACCTAGTTCAAGTCAACTTCTTAAAAAGAAACACAGCAGTATACATCAAACTAAAAGGCAAATATGTTCCAGAAAACAGCCGTCAAAACCAAGATGTTTTATAATGTTACTTTTAAATCACTTCCAATAAAATATATGGCACAAGGTGAGCTGAGTAAGGAGACCAAGGGACCTACAAACAAGGCAAGAAAGAGGTAGCCTAAATCTTCTGCTTAACTTGTCAAAAAAAGCTCTGCATGAATATTTAAATATTCTACTCGCCATCCACTATATGCCTGAAAAAGTAAAGATCATATTCCCAGGTGTCTCATTCAAAGCCCACTATAATAAAATGTTTCAATGTGCTTAAGATCAAAAGGTAAAGGAACAAGTTGGCCCAGTAGCTCCTCCTCCATACAAACACATTGCTCAAATGGCAAGAAAAACAATTTAAAAAAAAGGCATCCATACTTTTTTTAGAATAACAAAATGCAAAGCCAGTGATGTAGGAATGGCTGGGGGAAAAAAAAAAAAAACCAAACCACACACTTGAATGCAAGCCTGAGTTGCAGTAAAGACCATATTCACTACAAAGCCCTCACAGCATTGCAAGATTTTGCATTTGGTATAAAGGAACAAAGTGTGCAATGTCATCTTAATATGTACAACTGAGCACATTATATAAATGTTTTAAAATACGTCCATGGAAGAGAGGCAGGTTCCCTCCCCCATTTAAAAGAGAACAAAAAACTCATTTCCAGTATTTTTATTATTATTGCATTACACAGCATGTTATAAATGGAACAGAACCATAGCAGGGAAAACCAAAATAAACCAGGAGGCATTTGAACAATGATTTCAAAACCATTCTATCTGATACCATGATGAAACTTCATTATGCTATAAACTATTTAGGAAAAGTGCAAATTAGCATATGAACCCAAATAAATTCTGCCAAAGAGACACCATAATGAAAGAAGAGGATACATAACATTTATACTGGTTATTAGAGTACAGCTGATGATCTAGTCCTCTCCAAGACAGAACTCCGAGTTGCTTCAAGATGAACACCAAAAAAAGTAAAGCTCGCACAGAGTTCTTGGTCACAATAAGCAGCTCACGGTCCCGGCAGCTTTATGTCTAAGACTGTACATTCTCAAGGGCAGAACTTCAGCATATTTAAAGTGAGAGCGACACTTGCACTACGCTGCTAGAAGTAATTTTTTCCTAGTTCAGAGAGACATGACTAATATTTGCATAGTAAGATACTGGTTTTAAAATGTGAGATTGATAGTATCAGTCATTAATACAAACCTGGTATGTTAACAGTGCATGTCTAGGCTGAAAACAGATGATCACTGGCCTCATGCCTGACTATGCATGTAAGGCATTCAAAAATAGCCTGCTCATGCACATCTCAGATTATTCCTCTACTATTAGCAGACTTCAACTGAAAGAACTGCATAAAGTGCTGAAAACCACTACTGCAGTATTAAGTAGTAGCCCATGAAACTGATGTTAAAAAATGAAATACCAAAATTTTAACAATTTCAAATACTATCTACATACAAATAACATCATCAGTTCCTGCCCATTTGCAAGTACTACATATGTAACTATTGAGTCAAGCTGTCTAGAAAGCCCCTCTCTGCATTGCAAACTGCTGCACAGTAAACTGACTGACCTTGTGCTTTGTGTAGCCCCTGAACTCAAAATGCATTTAAGTTCACAAAAATTCAAAGTAGAAAGGGAATGATATCCTGACTACCCGCTTCCAATTAATTAAATGAAGTTGTTATAAATTTCAAGTCCATTTTGAATTCTAAAGAGGAAAAAGGCTTCAAAACAACACCAGCACACCTTTCCTGTAGTCTCAAAGTTACGTATTACCACATTTATATTTAAATACTTAAAGCAGACACACAAGCTTGACATTTTTCAATGCAAGTGAAGAGTACGTTCTTCAGATACTGTTATCAGTGACATATGGCACTCTACAGCAAAACGGACAGAGAGAAAACCTGATTTATTCAAAACACAGGTAGCGGTATTACACTCGGAAGCAAATTAACCCCCACCACCACCCCCCCAGCTCTAAGTCAGATCACACTCGCTACCACCACCTTTTCCTGTCTCAAGAAGTATTACATTTCTGGGTTTTTGAGTGGCTTTTGTTCGATGATTTTTGTAGAAACAGTGATTATGGATAAACTAGCAGAAGACTTATCCCAGCAGGTTTTCACTGTCAGAGCAAAGGAAGTTTCCAGTGCACCAACTGGATTCTACATTTCGTATTCACCCAACATATCTTATTTCTTACACTCAGATGAGCAAAACCTTTGCCACATCCCTTGCAATGCTCTTGGACAAAAAGCTTCTCCAGCCAATTTAAGTTCCCTGCCAAAGGCCAGTTTCACTTCAGAACCCGCCAGGATGTGGTTACCTGGCTTTAGGGAGAGTTTATGAGCATGATGTGGAAATTAAGTACCATTAGAATTAAAACAATGTGGGAATGTATTGGCTGGTTAAAGCTACCTGCCAGCTGCAGACCATGCGGTGAGCAGATTTTCACATGTGCAAGTAACTTTCTACACTAACTGACAAAACCAAGTGACCATGAACCTAAAAATGCTTGGGCCTTGGAGACATGCATTTATCTAGTGCAAACAAATATAACGGAGTTAACTTGGTCTGAACTGCAAGGCTGACTTATTTCCAAATTTCAGTTCTCTGAATTCAGAGCATTAATCTGTCCCAAGAGGTAGCATTCTCACAGCAGCTTCAGAAGGGAATGTGTAGCACATCTTAGTTGCTTCACTGCAAACTGTGATTTAATCTTCAGATTAAAAGCCCTGCTCATCTGCAATGCAAGCTCACACGTCAGACTGCCAACTCCGCTGCATGGGCAGAAACACCTGGCAGAGGCAGAACAGACAGCTGTAGAGGTGGTGAGAAAAAGCCACAGCAAAGTTCATGAAATCTCATTTACTAATAGCATCAGCCACAATCTGCAGTTTATTGCACCCCGGTGTACCATTACAGCTATAACAGCATAAACACCGACCTGAGTGCTTGAGAACCACAATGAAAACCAGATTACTGAAAAATTGGAAAAAGCTAGAAATAGTTTGCCCCACTTATGACAAGGATCTCACTGGCTGTTAATATAAACTACATTACCGAAACTTTAAAACTGTGTAAAGTAAATGTCCTTTTTAACTTCTCACTCCTGAAATCCAAACTAGACAGGGTAAATCTCCTGAAGACAGATATTACCTCAAAACCAGATAAAAATATTTAAATACGTTTTTCCGAGAGGCACTTCTGGGAGTTCTAGGAAGATGGGAGGGAAGGATCTCTAGAAGCTTTACATGGACCTAGGAATTTTTGCTGTGGAGATCCCATCCCCTCCCTAACCACTCATTTTCTCCTATTCCTTATCCCAACATGAAAACTACAGGCACAAATTAAAAATCAAAGTCAACACAGGAAGTCAAATGAGGTTTTACAACTCCAGAGCAGCTCCTTGTCCCGGTAAGCCTTATGAATTAATACTCGTCTGAGACCCTGCTGCTGCAGATCATTTGAACTACAGACGGTAAATAAGGCTTTCAAGCATATAAATATTAAGAAAGCCTTAAAAGCTATGAGACCTAGACTTCTAATTTATTTATTTTTCCTATTAGTTGTGATGGCACTTTACTTATTTCAATCTCTGAAACATACTTAGCAACAGTAAAAATGTGAACAAGTTACAGTAAAAAGGTAAATAAATTTAAATTTGAGCAGACATATGCATTGTTAGTGGAACATGGACAGACCATATTATTTTATTATGGTAATGATAAAGGCAATAAGAACTTAATCCACATCTGAAATTCCACAGCACACTAAATAACAGGGTTCAAACATTCAAAAGGCAGAGGTGGGGAAAGAAACCTAATTGGTTTAAAGATACCATATGGTAACACACAATGAGGAAAGGCTTTGCAGGAACCAACCTTGAACTCCATGAGCCAGAAAAGCCCTTCCAGTCTTGGTTTTCTAGGTGGATACTTTCAGTGATGGATTGGCCAATTCTAACTACAAGTAGCACGTGCTTCCTTTCAGTGCTGTACATCGTTAAATATTGAAATACCAGATTTTAACTAGCTATAAGACAGTCATTTCAGCAAGTTCATTAAGAAGTAGGGAAAAAAAAAAATCAAGCTTCTAGGTCCTCATTATTTTTTGTTAACAATGCTGACAGTATAACATCAGCTTTTGAAGGCTGACAACAGATAGCTTCTAACTACATCTATGGAAATTGCATTCAGTGATGATCACTGTCCCAGCAAAAGGAACAGAAAGATGATTCTGACACCTTTGTTAATTTTTCTCAGATGCCCATGGGCAACAGCAAGATCTTATTTAATTGCTCTGCTAAGTAATCTATAGTAGTCTTGGAAGGGAAATTACATCCACTGCAGGGCCTACAAAATACATGGGGGAAGAATTTGTCAGACAATTTTTCTTTAAGCCTCACCACTCATGCTCTTTGCACATGTGTAACTCAAATTCCAGTCTGCCATGAGGAAACATGAACTTATTTTAACTTGGTTTCTCATTATATTCTATATGACAGTGCAATGAACATGCAAGCTTACGTTTACTATTTCACAATGGACTATAATCCCTAGTACAGAAGCAAAACAGTAATTATAATTACTTGCCAATATTAAGTACCCTACCAGACCTCTCAAAAGGTTCTCACAAAGAACTGGGCTCAAACAGCTCATCACCTGATATGAATTCTTGTAATACATCATTTCAACTAGATGAATCTGAAGTTTAAAGCCAATCAATTTTGATA